GTAACTTGGAGAGCTCTGACATTCTCACCTCAGCTCAGAGTCAAAGTCTGGGAGAACTGGGGTCCCGTGAAGTCCCTCCTCGAGGATGGAGGGGGATCACGACATCGCCCCTCTCCAGGGTAGAAGAACAGCTCTTTGCTAAGCCCTCCCTGCGCCGCCGAGTCCTTTAGAACGCCCGCAACCGCCCTTCCTCGAGACCCCCGACACTAGTGGAACCCAATCGGTCACGAACTACGCTGCCCGCCAGTCTTCCTCTCCCAGGGAGTTAAGTTCCCAGTTGAGAGTGCTCCGTTTTCTCTGCCGCCTCCCCTTTTTGCACTCCGAGGGGTCCGGGGTGGTAACAGACCCAAACCCCACCCCAAACCCTCGATGAGGGAGGGGGTCTAGGTTGGTCTGCGCACCCCAGCCAACCAGGACCCCCAGCTTCTCCAGCCCATTAGTTCCGACGAGCCCCCCACGAACATGCCCAGGAGTCCCGCCCGGGTCTGGCCCGGGCCGAAGAGTCAGCTGGCAGCCGCTGTGCCCTTTCTTTTCTCGCCCAGTCTGCCCGGCGCGGGCAGTGCCAGCTACTGGAACTCCCAGCTACCAGGCACCTCCGGCCGCGGACTGTGTCAGAGGCCGGAGAACAGGTGGCCCCAGAGAGGAGCGCACGGCAGTCGCGCTCACTCACCCAGAAGATGAAGTTAAATCCGAAGAGCAGGTATTTGATGCACTTGGTACCTCCTTTAACCGGCATGGTGCAGGATGGATTGGCCTGGGTAGGACTGGTTTGGGACCGGGGCTTGCGCGCAGTTGGGACCGGAGGGATCCGGCGCTGGACAGAGGTGCTGGAAGCTGCGGGCTGGCCTCGGGCTGCACTTTTAAAAAGTGCCACTCCTTACGGCGCGCGGCCCGCCGTGGTGCGCATGTGCCGTGGAATTCCGCCCCCATCGACCCCGCCTCCCGGCCCCACCTGCCCCGCCCACGCCCCGCGGCTGCCGGGCCCAGGTTCCAGGGACGCCGGCCTCAGCCGCCCCGGAGTGCGGAGCAAACTCTCCCACCCGCCCCGGTGCCCTGCCCACGGAGTTGTCCAGACTCTCCTTCCCGCCGTCTTCCTCCTTCCTGCCCCATACCTTACAACCGTTCTGGGGTCTTTCCAGGACGCTATCTCCCCCCTTCCCCGCCACTTTTATCATGGAGTTATATGGAGGCCTCGCCCTTCCGGTTCTCATAGTCGATTCTGGGCTTTTGGCCCAAGTCCTTCATTGGTAGATCCTTCCCGGGTCATCTAGGATAAAGGACCCTTACTAGGGCGGGCTGCAAGAATGCGGTTCCTGCTTTGACCTTGGTCTGAAGGGAAACTGCCTGGATTGATTTCTCGTTTGAGCATCTCCTTGCAGACCTTTACTCATTGAACGTATTCTTATTTGCCTCATTGTCGTGTGGAGTAGGAGGAATTAGAAGCCCGCAGTCCAGGTAGGAAGACATTAGAGGCTTTTAGAAGTCATTATCAAATACCGATCACCGAATAGTAATATGGCCGAACTTCTGCTCTCTACTCCTCCACCCCACCCTCCCTGTAGCATCTTGTCTCCTAACTGCTCACTGCTGCCTCTGGAATGCCCCAGGTTCTGAGCTCTGAGCGTTTTTCCTCTGCTCAAAAACTTTCTGTAGCTCCCTACCTTCAGTGACCTAAGTCAAAAATTCCCATCTCATTCATGTCCTAGTACAGGATATTTGTGAGACTTTGTGCTACACCTGGTGCCACACCCCTACTCTGCTTCACCTGGCTAGTGCTGCAGGTGTTGTATGCCCCTGGCTGGCTGACTGGCCCTGCCCACTTCACTTGTAAAAATTCTATGACCCTTTCTTTACTTCTTTCCTGATTCTCATGATTGGGTGAGGAGATTCATCTTAATTCCTTTGATTGTTTTTCAGAATGAAGTTTCCTTTAGTGTTCTTTATTATTACAAAAGTGAAACATGCTCTTTAGAGAAACATCAGAAAATACCAAGAAGCAAAAAGACCATAACTCAAAATGTTGCTCAGCAGAAACAGCCACAGTTAGCATATCATAGTTCTTGCTTTGCTCTATTTATTATCATTAGACATGTCTCATTGTTTTTTTTTTTTTTTTAATGCTGGAGATGGAACTCAGGGCCTCCCAAATGAAGAGATCTACCACTGAGGTACTACTTCCTGTCTCATTGATTGATTGATTCATTCAAAAACATGTTTCCAAATCTACTTTATGTATTTCATTAGGAGGAGGAGCTGAAAAAAAATGGACTAAATCCTGTTTCTGTTCTGTAGGAGCTTGTCTGGTGCGGGAGAGAGACAGATAGACAGAAAAGGGAATGAGTGTGATATTTGGGATTGTGCAGATAGACTTGGGATCTAAGGCATCCAGAGGAGGGGACCCTGACCTGGTTGGGATGACTCAACTATCTCACAGAAATTTGCCATCAGGGAGAATCCAGGGTAAAGGCTGGGGCTGGAGCTCACAGTTGGTTGGAATAGGTGTTGGGGAGGTGAGGAAGAGCCCCCTGATTCCAGTCTTTGCACTTGGGATGTTAAGGGGCCACTGAAAGATTCAAACAGGATGTGGGTAGGACAGGAGACTAGGCAGTGAGCTATATGAGGATAAGGACCATTGTTTGTTATCTCCAGTCCTTGGTTCAGAGTTGGACAGAAAATTGAGATGTTGTATTTGCAGAGGTGCAGTTGGGTAATGTGAGGGGGGCACAGGGAGATGAAAGATGAACTGATGAACTGAGAATTGGGTAGAGATCTGTTAGGAGGGTGTTGAATAGTTCAGGTGAAAGAGAGTGAGAGTTGAAGGAAGGTGGGGAAATGGGATGGAAAAATCTGACAGGGTGGAAGCAGGAGGGAAGAAATCAGAGCAGCAGAAGTCAGATTGTGGAGGGTTTCATTCACTTGTTTGTCCTGCATTTCTTTTCTTTTTCTTTCTTACTTTTTTTTTTTTTGGTACTGGGGATTGAACCCAGGGCTGCTGTACCACTAGCTACAACTTCAGTCCTTTTTATTTTTATTTTGTAACCTGGAGCCTGGCCTCAAACTTGCAATCCTTCTGTCTCAGCTTTCTGAGTAGCTGGAATTACAGGTGTGCACCACATCACTGGCACTAACAACACTTTTTGAGAGCTTTCCATATGTCATGTGTAGTGGCAAATGCTAAGGGTAATGAGATGAAACTATTGAGGGATAGTTAGCATAGAATAGAGAGACTTCTTAACAGATAGGCAGGTTCAAGCCCATGAAAAAGAGAGATGGAACCTAGGATCCAGCAGGAGTGCAGGGCACATCCTCAAATCAGCCTGAGGTTTCCCAGAGCAGGGCACACCCCAGTAGCTGACTTTTGAAGGCAGGGAGGTTTAGGGAAGTTAGACAGGTGGAGAGGGAATTCCAGGCACTGGGAACTGTATGTGCAAAGGCACAGAAGCATGAAACCACAGGCAGCTGGCTCCTCTGGGGAAACTACTAACTGTGGGTGAGCTGGTGGGAAGAAGGAGGATGAGGAAGGAAATGCAGAGCCTAACTCAGCCTAATGCCGAGAAAAGCCAACAGAGGAACATCAGTAATGCTTTACTTGGGTTACTCAGCCGAATCCAGTGTCCACTGAGGATGGTTCTACTGCAGTACCACAGTGCATCAAGCACTGGGCGGGGTGGGGGGACAGGTAGGGGAAGAAAACAATGTCCCATTATGCTGCTCTGGCCAGAGTCCACTTTTCTTAGAACAGGTCTAATAATTTTTTTAAAAAATCTTTTTGTATCCCCCTCCTCCTTTTGTATTAAGCACTGTTGGGGCTTTCGTAAATATTCAGTTAATAATAGAAACAATTTCTTAGGGTTACTGAGTACCAAAGAAAATAGTTCACACACTTAGGCCTGGACACTCAAGAAATGTTGCTTATTGTTGCTATTATTATTTACACTCAAGGAGCAATGAGAGGCAGCCCACAGTGCATTACGTGTAATCAAGTGTCCTTGTCATGTGACACATGTAATCAAGTGTCCTTGTCATGTGACACATGTAATCAAGTGTCCTTGTCATGTGATAAGGGCATTGGACCTAGAGTGAGGAGGCTTGAGTTCTAGTCTAGGTTCCAACTCCATGGTTTATTTTGGACTGATCAATGACTGACTCAGGGCCTCAGTGGTCTCATCCATACAATGAACCTTTTGGATTGGGAGATGTGGAGGTCTGCCTTCATTTTGGCATTATATGGTGCCTAAGTCTCTGGGCCAAAGTGCTGCAGGCAGTGCTGCAGACAACCAGGGAAGGAGAGATGGAAAAAAAAAAAATATGGTTTGATTTAAGTGGAAGAGGAAAATCTGGGTAAGCCCTTGAGTCAGAGATCAGGAGGCAGCCAGGCTTTTCAGGCTTTGTAGAGCTGGAGTGGGAAAACTTCCTTCCCAGGGGCATCCTGTTTATGGAACACCCCCACCACCCCGCCCTTTGGGGTCCACTTTGGCTCTTGTGCTCCTCCTGGTGGTAAGATTTGAAGATGCAGGAAACAGGCAGTCTAGTGATCAGTGACACCCACAGAAGGGGACTACTTATCCCTCTACCTAAGGTCAGTAGCTTTATAAGGCAACAGGCAGGATGCCTAGTCTTAGGGACTACCAAGACCCTCCCAGAAACCATACCAGTGGCTGTTTTGGTTCATCTTCACTTCTAGAAGCTTCTTTGCTGCTCTTCTTAGTAAGCTCCAATGCCACTGTCACTGGAGGGAGGGGCAGTCTGCGGAATCCCTCCAAAAGGGCAGTGGGGACTTCAACTAGGCCTGGGAGGATTCTTTTTTAATATTTATTTATTTATTTTTTTAGTTTTCAGCAGACACAACATGTTTATTTGTATGTGGTGCTGAGGATCGAACCCAGGCCGCACGCATGCCAGGCGAGCGCGCTACCGCTTGAGCCACATCCCAAGCCTTACCTGGGAGGATTCTTGACTTATGACCCTGAAAAGAATTTCAGGACATGTAGAAAGCAAGACACAAGCAAAAGATTTACTAAAGCACAGCAAAGCAAATGTACACCCAAAAGGCGGGGTGTACACACCCCACATCTCTCAGAGAAGAGGAATGACACACCAAGAGTTGAGCTCTCTGACTTTGTATATAATTTTTCTGGGAAGAATAATACAGCTTCCCAGGCAAGCTTTTGTGAAAATCAAATTCTATGTTAATCATTTGATATTCGGGGTTCAGAATGCTTCTTCCTGGTTGAATAGTCTAGTTATATACCAGTTGTGGGCACAATGTGGAAGTCTTTGAATTTGGTGACATTTAAATTTATTATGTTTCTGTTCTAGTGGATCTAGTACAAGTATCTGATCTGGTTTTGTTCATCTAGCTAAAGAGACAAGCATGGCTGGTCATGCTCATAGATCCCGGTCTCCATCCAGCAAGTATCTCTTTTTCTCTCTCCCAGTGAGCCTTCTTGTTTCTCTATCACCTCACAAAGCCCTCCACCATCACTCCTGTCTTTTCCTCCATGAATTACCTTGTTTGACTCTCTCCTGTGTGACTCATTGGCTGTCTTCATCTTCTAGTATGTGTGCACATTTTGGTGGTGAGCTCCTCCAAAGTATACTTGCTTTGATGAATTTGTGTTCTCTCAAGCTCCTGGTCCTTTGCTGGCCCAGTGAGCCCTCTGTATACATTTGTGGAATGACTGCAAGGGAGAACATGTTCCTCAGGCTTTTGTCCTTGGACCTCTGCTTTTCTCTTAGCTCCTCCATTGAGCACCCATCTTCTCGTATCATTTCCTTTGTTTGGCTCACCTCTGCATAAATTCAAGTCACGATACTCATTCAATAGCTCTTCAAATATGCCCCATCCTAGTGTCTGACACCCAGGAATGCGCCACTTTATTTACATGGTATAAGGGACTTTGCAGATGTGATTAAGTGAAAGGATTTTAAAATGGGGAGTTTATCTTGGACTTTCTTGGTGAGTCCAGGATAATTAAAAAGGTTCCATAGGAGAAAGGTAGGAAGATCTGAACTTGAGAATGAGGTATGAGGACAGAAGCAGAGGTTGGAATGATGCATGGCCACATGCCAAGGACCATGGACAGCCTCTGGAAGCAGGAACAGATGAAGAAATGAGTTCTCTCTAGAGCTGCCAGGAGGAGCAAATGCAGCTCTGCTAACTTATTTTAGGTTTCTGACTGGAACTGTAAAATAATTAAATATGTATTATTTTAAGCCACTAAATTTTTTTGATAATTTGTTACAGAAGCAGTAGGAAATGAACACAGTTAAAATAAACATCAGGACCAGAGGTCCTAATCCCCGAGGGCTTCCTAAACCTAAAACTGACTTTCCTCTCTCTTTGGCCTCCTGTCCTCCCGTCAGTCAGCATCCAAACCCCACATCACCTGGGCCTCTTCCTCCTCCTTCCCCTAGCCTTGCACTGCTGAGCAAATGTGATTCTTCTTTCCTAGTACTTCTCATGGTGTTGCAAGGAAGTGCTACAGTTGCTGTCCTATTAAAAGATAAGGAACCAGACCTAAAACAGAAAATAGTGATTTAGTGTCCAAGGTCAGACCTCAGATCTTCCACCTGGCATTGGTTCTCATCTTCCCTTTTTGCCACTTCCCAGGGGCCACAACCTCAGAATTCACCCTTGACCCAGGCAACTGCCTTACCTTCCAACCTTTCTCCCTGCCTTTTACCTTCCAGTCTGCATACCTCATTGGAGACTCGGTTGCTCTGTTTTCACCTATAACTTCTTTTTATTGCATTAAGCACACATGTACTCAACAAGGAACCTACCTATGTATAGTGTGAATTTGATCAAGGTTTCATGGATGGGTAGATGAGGGATTACATCTCATATGACAGCAATACCATTCTAAAAATACTTTTTAGATACATCTTTCCTCAAACTTCATTCTGTGGCAGCTACCCTTGCCCCTTCTCCTGATGTTAAATGTAAAGATAGTTAACATCACATTTTCATCATGCTTCTGAAACTTTGCTTGACTCTTTTCTGCTCATTTTTCCTTCTTAAAGACTTCCCAACTTCCCTTACTCAGGTCTGCTTCTAAACGATTTTCCATAGCACTTAGCACCTTCTCACAAAGTGGAGTTTTCTTCCAATATGTATTGTTATTTATCTGCCTCTTCTAGCTAGAATGTAAAGGCCATGAGCATGAGAAGATTTGACTGTTTTGTTCTCTGATGTACCCTGTGTGCTTGAAACAGTGTCTGACATAGCAGGTGCACAATAAATAGCCAATGTATGAGAATCTAATGTTCTAAGGACAGCATAAAGACCCTTTGCTCTCTCCTCTTAACATCTATTTATAATTCTGTCCACTCTTTGGAGATACTACACGAATTCCCACATCTACACCTCTGTTGCCTGCCTCCTTTCCTAAGGCCCAACTCCTCCTGGCCCTTCCTCATCTTATCCTACCCATTTCTGAGGCCAGCTCAGCACCTGCCTTCCCCAACATCCTCAGCCAGTCTGCTCTAATCCCCTTTCTCAGTGTGCTTCTATAGCAATTTGTTTCTGAACCAATCTTTAGACTCCCATTACAAGTTTTGTCCTGGGTGGTAGTTTCATATGTATTTTAAAAAAAATTTCCCTAGTTCAGCCCCTCTTGTACCTATAGCAGGTACTTTCCAAATGCTTGATGAAAAAAATATAACCCAAGGACCAACACTTAGATGGGCACACTTTATGTGCCAGATGAGATTCTAACTGTGCATATAAAAACTCATTTAATATGCAGACCCCTATGAGGTTTACGGCTTGTCATTTCTATCTAATGAATGGAGAAAATAAGTCATAAGGAAGTTAATGAACTGACTAGGAAGCAGCAGAGCCAGGTTTGAACCCAGGTGGTCTGGCCTCAGAGCCTGGGTGCTAAACTCCCTCTTCATGGGTTGAGTGGATGTATTACTATTGACAGTACTTGCTCCCCACCCCCACAAGACTGGGTACTGTTATGTTGTCCAGCCTGGCCCTGATCTTGTGGGCTCTAGCAATCCTCTTGTCTCAGCTTCCCAAATAGCTAAGACTACAGGAATGTAACACTGCACCTGCTCCTTTTGCCATTTTTGCCCTTTGGTTGTAAATGTGGTTTGAAGGGGCTGCAGGTGCCCTCCCAGGGGTCTTGCCATCCTTAAAGTTCTTCCCAGCAAACTGACACTCTAAGTCTTAGGGGGCTGATAGTAGGTTGTGAATTTGGTTTGGTCTCTGCTAGCATCTGTCTGTCCCTTCTGAACCTTCCTTTCCACAGCTACAAAGAGAGGGAGATCAGTGCTCTCTCTGCACCATTAGGATGGGGATGGGTGTGCGTGCCCTGACAGGCCTGCCTTGTGCTCAGTGGTAGGTATTGGCAGCCCATGGGGAGGTGACTTCTGTTCTGGATGAGCTTCTGGATTCAGGAGGAGGAAAAGAAGGTGTGTGTGTGTGTGTGTGTGTGTGTGTGTGTGTAGTGTTTCCTCATAGGAGAACAGAGAAGTTATAGGAAAATATTATGGATTTGAAATTAGAAGTCAGTCATAGGTCCAAGCTCCATTTCCTCATATAAAATAGGCTTAAAGAAAATGTGTCATATATACACAATGGAGTTTTCTTCAGCTATGAAGAAGAATGCAATTATGTCATTTGCAGGAAAATGGATGGGACTGGAAAGCATCATGTTAGGCAAAATAAGCCAGACTAAGAAAGCTAAGGGTTGTATTTTTTTTCTCATATGTAGAAACTAGAGAGGAAAAAGAAAAAAGGATTGTCTTGAAAGTATAAGGAAGATTAATATGGCAAAGGAAGAAGGCCAAGGGAAGGGAGGAAGAATGAAACTGATCAATATATGTCACGTGCATGTATGAATGTGTCACAACAAATCCCACTATTATGTATAATCATTATGCACCAATAAAAAATTAAAAACAGGTTTAATAGAATTTCTATGTCATTTTCGCAAGAGAATCAAAACTTTGTCCCTGAATATGGAAGTGCTCTGTAAAGTGAAAGGTGCTTATAAACCTAATTTTTAATCTGAATCTCACAGAATAGGTGTAGTGAACTTGGTTAATATAAAATGTTAAATGGGCCCAAGCCTCAGAGTCCTGAAGTTTTGGCCCGAGGAGCGCTTTTTGCTCTTTGTAGAGCAAGCTCTCTGGCTTCTGGGCATCTCTGCCCAACATGCTATGTTTACCACACATTTACTGCACAAGTTCTAAGTGCTGGGGTAGACTGGACTCTGGTCCTGCTCGTGAGATGCTCTTCTCCTAACTGGGGATGCATGATGTGGTAGACACCAATCAGTGGACTGTAAATAGTAAGGGAACAATTAGGGGAGTGAAGGGCAGCAGATGTCCAGAGATCTGAGGGCATGAGTTTGGACTGATCTTGGAGCAGCTGTAGCCACAGGCCAGAGGGGGCCTTTGGGATTAGTAAGCCCTTTGTCTGCCTCCCAATTTCCATACCACTCAGTTTGAGCTAGCCCTGAGAATATTCCACCCAAGGGCAAGTGAAGTCACTAAATCTATTTTGCTGACAATTTCTTTGTGTCTCATGGGATATTTGACTGATCCTCCAGAGACTGTAATCTCCTTAAGGCCATGTCTTCCCCAATGCTGTCTGGGGTGGGTTGGATTCAGGCTTCTCCTAGTGGGTCAGTAGGTGTGTGTGTAAAAGCTGGGACTTGGGTGTGGGTTCAGAAGGATATACATAATTGACATATAGTTATAGTTAGGATGAACTTGAAGGTAAGAAACTTTTATCACAGAGTTAGTGAATTATTGCCATGAATCATTGCTTGGAGACAATGAAACCAGAACTCCTGCTCATGACACAGGAGTCCCTTGTTTAGCTTCTGCTAAACATCTGTCACCTGAGTTCCCTACTTCTGGCCCCTTATTTGATCCAGCTGTTCTGCTCTGTGCCCTTGCCCCCCAACTAAAGTTTTAATTTTGGAACCCTTTTAGGTTTACATAAAATCTACAAAGATAGTATAGCACCCCCCCCACCCCCAATGTTAATGTGGCATATTGGCCAAAACTAAGAAATGAAAAGTTTTGAACAATGAACAAGTTTTATTTTATTTTTCATATAATTTTATAAGTTTTATTTACATGGCATTTTTATAAGATTTGTAATATGTGTATGTAATTCTGTAACCAAATAATAAATACTTTCAAACATAGGGAAAAAAACTAAGAAATTGACATTGGTACCATCCTCTTAGCTAGACTTCATATTTCATTCATATTGCACAAGTTTTTCCACTAATTTTCTTGTTCTGCTCTAGAATTCAAGTTCCCACATTGCCTTTAGTAGTTTGCATTGCATTTTGTTCTCTGAAGACACCGGGCTCATTTCCTGTTCTCTGACTTTGACCCTGTCATTCTCTTTATCTGCAGTAACTTTCCTGTTTTTAGCCAACTCCCATTCTTCCTTCAGCAACTCCTCTCTTGGATAAGGGACAATGTTGGGAACTTGGAAGGATTAGAATTTGAGGTTCTGACTGTCAACCCTATTAACTGATACTCCCATTTCCATATCCAAGATCTCATTTGGTTTTTATATACTTTACTTTTTGCAAATATGAGCAAATACTGTATTTGTAAGATTTTTGTCTCCATAGTAAAATACCTGAGCAAAGTAACTTTATAAAGAGGTTTACTTACCTCACAGTTTTAGAGGTTGCTTGTCCAAATAAGAACTTGATATGGAGAGATTGTCCTGAATTATCTATATGAACCCAATCTAACCCCTTGGAGCCTTAAAATTGGAGAATCTTTCCTGGTTGTGGTTGGAAGGAGATGTGACAAAGGATCAGAGAGACATGACCCAGACAAAGTGCTGTCTTTGTAAATGGAGGAAGGGGCCACCAGCCAAGATATTTGGAAGCCCATAGAAACTGGAAAAGGAGAAAATGGATTTTCCCCTAGAGCTTTCAGAAGGAAGGCAAACCCTATCCACACCTGATCTTAGAGTGAGACCCATGTGTCAGACTTTTGACTTGCCAAAGTATAACATACACAACAAATATTTGTTAAATTTGCAATAATCTGTTACAGCAACAATAAAAAATTATACTATATCTTGGAGATATTTCCTTATTACTACAGATATTGTAGCAGTGTTAGTTCCTCATGGTTATACACAGGATATGGAGACTGACAGATCTGGGCTTGAATCCAGGCCCAGCCACACACTAGTTGAGCAATTCTGGACAATTTGTTACCCGTCTGAGCCTGCCTCCTCATCTGCAAAAGGGACTAATAAAAGACTTGCTTCACAGGGTTGCTCTGAGGATTAAGTCACATCATGCATACTAAACATTTAGCACAGTGCCTGGCACATAGTAAAAGCTCAAGAAAGGGTGATTGTAAACACTATTACGAATTAGATTGTAATTATTATATTTAGAAACTTCCTCTGAGTTCCCCAAGTCTTATTGACCTCTTTTTGGACTCCTTATAGACTCAGGAGACAGCCCATAAATCAGCCCTTGGTTTCTGCACCAGACCCCTCTCTTATCTTGAATGCTGGATTCCCTTTGCCTGCAGGACCCTGTTTCCCTAGGCAGTGGCCAGTGGGACTCTGTTTCAGTTGTCTTGGGGATGGTATTTAGGATGACATGTCACCTGAGTGATTGCTCTATGAATAGGCGCTGGCTGTGACTGTTGTCACTTTTTCTGAAGTTGAGGTTTCTTTCTTTCCACACCAGGGTCATGTCACGGGTACAGCTGGACCCTGGCAGGTTCCCACGCTGCTCCCTGTGGCATAGACTCTGGGATATCTTAAGGGTCCCTCCTGATGTCCCCATTAGGCAACTTTTGCACCAGGTCAACCTCGCCCCCATAACCCTGAGGCAGGCCTTTCTGCTAGTGGGGAGTTCTGGTTATCAGAAAAGTTGTCCTTCTTCACCAGAACCCCTGTCCACATCCTGCCCTCTGGGTACACATGGAACCAGTGTTGCCTGGAGAAAGAGATGTGGGAGTCTGTCCCAGCTCTGCCAATTCCTTTCTGGGTGGCTCCTGGTTATGTGAGGTTTTTTTTTTTTTTTTTTTGATTCTTTTTTTAGTTGTAGATGGATACAATACCTTTATTTTATTTATTTTTACGTGGTGCTGAGGATGGAACCCAGTGCCCCACACATGCTAGGCAAATGCTCTACCACTGAGCTACAACCCCAGCCCATGTGAGTCTTTTTTGAACTCTGTTTTAATAATCTATTAAAAAGAAAGGAAAACACTTACCTTTCAGGATGGCTCTGGAAGGCATTTCCTGTGTAGTGGCTGTCTATTTGGGCTGCATCCCTCCCCTCCTGCTCCAGGCCACACCCTTGGATTCCTCAACAGCTCCTGGGGAGGATTATTGGAGCCATCTCTGAAACTCCAGGGGTGCAGTACACAGACCCAGCCCAGGCTCTCCAGTGGGCTGGCTTCATCTGCCTGGAATCTTACTTCTGCTTCTGACCAGCTTTGCTGTCAGTTCTTCTCTTCCCTGCCCAATATCAAGCTTTCCCCTCTCTTCTCTGGCCTGGCAGCAGCTCAGGCCTTTCTATTCCCACCACACAAAACCCCATAGACTCTAATGCTCTTGCTGAATATAGAAATACCACCTTATTTTTAGCTTTGGCCCTGGTCCATCTCATGGCGCCTTCCCTATATGAACTTGGCGAGCTCTGCAAGTTGTTTTCTCAAATCCTTAGAGCCACAGGAACCTCTCTGTCCACAACATTTACATAGGCTCTACCCACATCGCTCTCCCCACCAGTTACCCCTGTTGCCTCTGTAACTTGCATGACCAGCTTGTATACATGTGTTTCCACCACAAACACTCTAGAAAGTATGGCCTCATTTATTGTACCCACTCCCTGTCCCTCCCTCCAGCTGAGGAGCTTTCCCTGGAAAAATCAGGCTGAAGGGAACAAGGGAAGATAGCGGAAAGGAGCTGTTATTTACTTCTTGGCTGTGAGGCCAGCTGGGGAAGGTGTGCTGTCCCCCCAGTCCCTCTATACACACATGAACTGCCTTCCATGGCAGGGTCAGCTCCCTGTCTGCTTTCTGAGGCAAAAGCAGTCAACCCAGAGATGACCACACTTGCCCTCTCAATGTAAACTCAAAGAGAAACAAGCAAATAAGCAACCCACTTTGGGACAAAGCATCTTAAACCAACCCTGAGAGAGTAAACTTGGGTTTCTAAGTAGAGATCTGTGTGTTTCCCCAGACGGGGTGCATTCATTTCTCTTGAGGCTAGCTGGGTCTTGAGGCCAGCTCGGTTCCAAGTGTCTTAGCATGAAATCCAGTGTCAATAGAGTTCTTTCTGGGGATTACTCTACTTCTAATCCTGAACTGGAAGTTTCTTGAGGCATGGACATTTTGTTCTCATTCCTCTCTCTCTCTCTCTCTTCTCTTGATCTAACCCAGGGCCTCATGTGTGCTGGGCAAGTATTCTGCACTGAGCTAACTCCCAGCTCCTGATTCCTCTTTTTATTTACAATTTCTTAGGGTAAAACTCAGACTCCTTAGGGGCTACAATTCTATGGTTCACCCCCCACCCCACCCTGCTTCCCAAAATGCCTACTCTGAACTCTACATACCCATCCAGCACAGGCATTTGCTCTTCCCTCTGCTTGAATTCTTCTTTCCCAGGATCCACAAGGCCATTTCCTTTGTTTCTTCCAGACTTCTGCTCCAATGTACCCTTGTCAGGGATGGCTTCTCCATTTCCACGTGACCCATCCCAGCACACCCCAGGCATTTCCTACCTCTTTTGCTCTGATCCCTCTAATCTCCCCTATTATTGCTGGATGCAGTATACATTTCAGTTTTTTCTCTATGTATTTCCTTGCACTTGGATGTAAACTTCATGGATCAGGGGCTCTTCTTTTTGTTTGCTATTTTATCTCCAAGGTCTATGCCATAGTGTATATTAATTCTTATTTGTGGAACACAGGAAGTGAGTGCTCAGTGTGAGCAGATGGAAACATGACTTGCAGAGGAAGCCTCCCAGCCCAGGCAGTGGGGCTTCTGGGTCAGTGGGCATGTTCAGGAGAGGGTGGAGGTGTCCTTCTGCAGGTGTCCCTCTGTGTATCAGCCAGGAAGGACACACAGAGCCTGCAGGGAGGGCTGGCATGGGGGCTCTCCAGGAGGCTGTGTTAGGTCTGGCCAGGGGTGATGGGTCCCTGGCTCATCTGCCAGTGGTTCCTGCCTTTCCCTTCCTGTGTGGTGAGTCAGCCACACCCCTGGGGAAATGTGCCAGGGAAATGGCCCCTGCCAGAAGTGCAGGAGGGCTAAGGTCAACAAAACAAGAACTTGCTTGTGCACTCCTCCCAAGCTGCCCACCAGAATGCCTGCTACAGGGTGAAATGTGTCCCCTTAAATCATGCATTGAGGTCCTAACTCCTGTGCCTCAGACTATGAATTCAATTGGAACTAGGGTTGTTGCAGATGTAATTGGTTAAGTTAAAATGAGGTTATACTGGAATTGGGTGGGTCTCTAATGCCATGATTGGTGTCCTTATACAAAGAAACCAAGTGAACATGGATCAAAGTTGAAAGCATCATGCTGAGTGAAATAAACCAAAGACCAAAAGGACAAATATCATGTTAATCCACTTATTAGGCACCTAGAATAGTCAAATTCATAGAGATAGAGTATAAGAGTGGTGACCAGGGGCTGTGGTATGGGAGGGTGTTGAGGAATTATTTTTAGTGGATACAGAGTTTCAGTTTGGGATGATGAAAAGATTCTGGAGATCATGAATATACTTAATGCCACTGAATTGTATAATTAAAATTGGTTAAAATGATAATGTTCTTTGTTACATATTTTTAACTAATTAATTAATTTGGTTTTATTAGGTATAAATGACAGCAGAATGCATTTTGATTCATTGTACACAATTGCAGCACAACTTTTCATTTCTCTGGTTGTACACAATGTAGTGTCACACCATACGTGCAGGCATACATGTACCTAGGGTAATGATGTCCATCTCATTCCACCATCTTTCCTCCCCCATACCCACTTTCCTCTCCACCTTCCCCTTTGCTCCAAGTTCCTCCATTTTTTTCCATCCTCCACCCCCATTGTGGTTTAATATTCACTTATCGGAGAGAACATTTGGCCTTTGTTTTTTGGGGATTGGCTTACTTTGCTTAGTATAATATTCTCCAACTCCATCCGTTTACCTGCAAATGCCATAATTTTATTCTTTTAATGTTGAGTAATATTTCACTGTGTGTGTATACCACAGTTGTAACACAAAAACTCACGGGAGGAGAAAGAATACAAAGAGAGAGCCTGTGGCTGAGGAGAGCATCTACAGGCCAAAGAACGCCAAAGATGGCCTGGCCTGCAAAGACCAGCAGGACAGAGAGGCCCGGAGCAGACTCTCTTCTCAGCATCAGGAGGGAGCCCTGCCCACACCTTGATCTCTGCCTTCTGCTCTCTAGAACTGTGAGACAATAGATTGCTGTTTAAACTACCCAGTCTATGGAGTTTTGTTACTGCTGCCCCAGACAACGAACACAATGGCTCTCTGTGGCTCTAGTGCTTCCTGTGGAGGTCCCCTGACTCCAGGCATTGAGGCTGGATCAGTAACAGGGGAGCTGGTTGTGACGACTGTCTTTCTATTTTTGGCTTACGCCCCTCCCTCCATTTGTTCTTTGCTGCTCCCGCCTCCCTTGTCTCCTCTGTTCCCTGGTTACTAGTTCCATGTCTGTATCTCCCTCTTGACTTATAAATCCGGGAAGCCAGGGCCTCCTGTGCTCATTGGCTGCTGTCTCCTCAGGCCTGCATAAGTGTATTGGAACATTGGATACAAATGTATAAATGAACAAATCCATGAATCAAGGGGGCAAGGAAAGGGTCTCTTTTCCCTGGGCCTCATCAAGGATGTTTTGACAAAATATCTGTATTTAAACTAGGCAGAGGCAGTATCCCCCTCCCTGGGTGACCACGTCAGCTGCTAAGGCAGAGCAGTGTGGCCTCTCCAGGGCAAGGATGCTGCTGCTGCAGACAATCTGGCTGGGCTGCCTCAGGCAACCCTAGTGCTGTGGAGTCAGGGCCGGAGGCCTGGGGTTAAGCCTTTCCCCCAGGTTTGCTGAACTCACACCTGGCACTTGTTCAGCAATAGAAAGGCCAAGGAGAAAGGCTTCCATATTATGTTAGACAGAACCTGGAATTAGATGGAAGAAAAGAACACCCTTGCTCTCAGAAGCAAGCTCAAGTTCTAGAGCAGCATATACCAGGGCATGCAGTAGAGCCAATCCCAGATCTTGGGGACCTCACAGTGTGACATGGAGGCAGACCAGTAAATGATCCCAGAACAAGGCCGGTGCTGCTCTGGCGAGGCCAGCTGTGGGAGCAGGGGAGATACTTTGAGAATGGGACTTGGTGAGGGCTGAATGAGGGAGGCCTTGAAGGATGAACAGGAGTTTGACAGAAGCAGGGGAGGGGTGGGGAATGGGGAAAGTATAACAGAAACCAAATAGCACCAGGCAAGAAGGGAAGATGGGAAAGGTTGATGTAGGTCTGGGGTAGCTGGGGGTGAGACAGGAGGTGACTAATGTGGATAAAGTCCCAGAGACGGTATGGCTAGTTAGTGAAGCCCCTGGTATACGCTGCTCTAGAACTTGAGCTTGCTTCTGAGAGCAAGGGTGTGCTGGCTATTCTGTGTGCTCCCCTCACCCTCAAACCATCCATTCTCTACCCTTCTCTGAACTTCTCTGTAGACTGCTTTAATGGGCTGCCTTGCTCACTGGTTGGAGGAGAGAAAGTCTGGGATGTTGATCTCCTGATTGCCTTGTCACTTTTCTGGCAGTAGCTGTATTCCTCTGTGGTCATGGCTCCTGCCAGGTACCCCTCCAGGGTGGCGGAGCACCCTGGCTCCAACTCTGCCTCTGGTCAAACTGTACAGGCATTGGTGGCAAAGTCTTCCAGCTGTGGCTCATTCCTGGTGCTTCACCACCCCTTAGTGGTTCACTTACCCATGCCCACTTCCTGCAAATCCCCTGTGTCAGACTCCCTTTAGCAAACCCCTTTGGGTGTCGCCTCTGTTTCTCTGTGGAACCCTGCTTGGTGCAGTAGGGGTGTGGCTTAGGCAGCATTTGGTGGGGGAAATGATCTTGGGGATGAGCAGATGAGTGGGGGAGACTTGGCAGGCAGGGATGCTAGTTAAGACCTGTGAAAAGTCCAGGTGAACAATGGAAGAGTAGCAATTGGGATGGAGAGAAGGGGCCAGAGCTGAGAGGCACTTCTGAGTTAGAGTGGTTCAGCTTTGGGGACTTATTGGGTAGATGGGGAGGTGGGCAGGGAAGGAGGGAGCCCTCAGTTTCCACTTAGAAGACAGAGAGCATCATTCTCAATTGCTGTATGATGGACCATAGAATTTGATATTTCTAATTCAAATTCAGGACTATGAGGTTTTACTTGCTCTCTCCTATCCTAATACGTTTGTTGCCCCTTTCTCGCATGCCAAGAATTTCAATTCTAAAGTATATCAGGAATAATAGCATTAATACACTGTCCCTGACTTAGTTTAGGTCTACATAGGATTTTTGGACTGCATAGTGATATGAGAGTGATATGCATTCAGAAGAAACCACACTTCAGATTTTGAATTTTGTTTTTTTCCCCAAGCCAGGGATACATGGTGCAATGCTTTCTCCAGATGCTGTGCAGCTGTAGCGATTGTGAGGGGGAACACTAGGGACTCTACAGTGCACTGTGTTGCTGCAGGTTGGGGTTATAAAATGCCTTTTCCACTTATGATATTTTCAAGACATGATAGGTTTATCTGAAGGTGATGCTGTTGTAAGCAGGGGAACATCCATGTCCTTATTTGCTTTCTCCCACGTTACATACACAGCTGTCTCAGAATGATAATACCAGCATTATCTTATGATATGATTACTCACAATACTTACAAATTTAACTGCATTTCCTTTGGTCCTTAGAATGTATAGTCAATTTCGTACATTAGGGCCTCTTGGAATAGTTCTTCTCCAGGTGGTCATGCCATACCAATGTAGGCTTACTTGTTTTATTTTGAATTTTCATAACTTGCTCTGTAAAATAAGATTTTTATAAAGCCAAGGGTTTAGTTCAGAGGCAGAGCACTCCTCTAGCATGACTGAGGCTGCGGCCAAGCACCCCAAAAATATACACATGTCTTTATTTATATGAAATAGTTATTGTTCCAAAGTCAAATCTACAAAATAAAGTATTAATAAATTTGCCAAAGAGTTAGGTTCAATTAGGTTCTATCTTGGTGTCCCCTCTGCTTTACTATCTCCTTTAAGTTTATTATATTTATTTATTATTTATATTAAATTTATTATATTTATACTTAATGTAAAATATTTGTATTATTTTTTATCTCCTGTTTCTTTGATAAATGAAAGCATTCTGCTCATATTTCTCTCTATCTTGCCTTTTCCACTTAATATTCCCTGGAGATAACTCCACAGTAGTTTATAAAGATGACCCCATTCTTCATTTCTTCACTAGATATATAGTTTTCTATTGCTTAGTTTATTCAACCAGTCCCTCACCATGGATATTGCATTATTGCCTACAAACAAATAATCTTTTCTTGTACATATGTTTTTCTGTCTCTTTTAATCTGTGGGGATAAATTCCTAGATAAGTTCTGGATCAAAGGTTAAATGCATATGGAGTTTTGCTAAACATTGCCAAATTTCTGTAAGGTTGTACAATTTTGTATTTCCTTCAGCACTGTATGAGACGGCCTATTTCTCTGTAGCTGAATGAGTACACTGTCAAACTTTTGGATTTTTGACAATCTAAAGGGTATCTTAGTGTAGTTTTAATTTGTATTTCTCTTAATGTAAGCAAAATTGAGCATTTTTTTCATA